CATGAGTGTCAGCACGTTGTGCTTGTGTGAAATGTTGAGGGGGTAGTAAATGCTCGTCAAATGTAAGCGAGCTGAACTCAGCAGCCTGGCAGGAATGAAGGGCTTATGCAACCAGATAATCGAGAGGATGAGAGTCCAGCCAAGGAATCTGGTCTTCATCCTGCAAACAGGGAACAGCTACTGCCGCTCAGCTCAGAATAGTCTGATACTGGAGGTCTGGGATCAAGTGGGAAGTTCCACCATACTGGATAACAATGATTGACCAATGTTCTTTCCTCTTCTCTCCTAGTTCTCTCAACTCATTAAGATCTTCCATTCTCTGGGTCCTGAGAAGTTCCCACTTGTGGAGCAAACGTTTTTCCCCAACCATAAGCCAATGGTGAGTGTCCTTTTTGACTCTGATTATCTTAATGATATGGAATGAAAACAGATGTCCATGTTTTCAGTCCTGTTGGATGAGGAGTGGGCTGAGGGCCACTCCCTGATTGCCTGGGCTCTAAGGAAGAGTTGTGATGTCCTGTGAGAATACCTGGCTTTCTTAGGAAAAGAATAAAGTCTTCAGGTGAAATTTTAGGTAGCAGGACAAATGACAAAGGTGGATGGCATCCCTTGGGATATTGGGAATTTTCAGCAAATTCAGGGACAACTTGAGCTGGCATTTTGGAGCCAAACGCTGATAATAAAGATAAAAGATGTTTCAAAGGTTGGATGTTGTTTCCCTTGAGCCCTGGGCAGAACCTGGTTCCAACTTTTATTTTGATAAAAGCTGTTGTATTTTGTTTGCATTGATCATCGAAGGGCACTTTCCTTGTGTGTTCCCTTTGCTTTCTGACTTATGGATGTACCTGAGGTTGTCTCTGGGAAGTGGTTGGAGCTTAGCTTGGAGCACATGGTCGAGCCCATTCATAGGACAGCTGGGTGGGAGGGGTGACATCTTCTGAAAAGGTGGAGAGCTCTTTATCCCACAACCAAAAGAAGTTGGGTGGAAAGAGTTCTGGGCAGCTGGAAATAGCCTGTGATATATCTGCTTGTGTGTTTGGTGGTCTTCTTAAACTGGTCAAAGGAATGCAGGGCCATGTCCCCATGCTTGCCATGTAAGGAATGTGAATCTTGGGCAACAGTGTGGTTAAAAAGGTATCCGAATGTCCCAGCTGGGGACTGGCCTGTTCGTAGAATCCCACGCTCAGGCTGCTGACCTGGAAATTCTACCACACGAGTGGTAGGACTGCAGGCCCCAGGTGGGGGCAGTCTAAACAGGCAGAGAGGTTTTTCCATTGATTATCTTTCCCTTATATCTGATCCAATGAGAGTCATAGAATCCAAGATATGCTGGTTGGAATAAGAAGGGTAAGTGGAGGGACGCCTGGGTGGCTCAGTCAGTTAAGTGTTCAACTTTGGCTCAGGTCATCATCTTGCAGTTTGTGGGTCCAAGCCCTGAGTTAGGCTCGCGCTGACAGTGTGGAGCCTGCTTGGGATTCTCTCTCTCCTTCTTTCTCTGCCCCCCTCTCTCTCTCTTTCAAAATAAATCAATAAAATTTAAAAAACAAGAAAGGTAAGTGGAACCTGGCATATTCCAACAAAGTATGAACAGTATAGAGAAAATTCAGGGATTATCATCAAACCAGAATGAATTTAAATCCTAGTCTGCCAACATACTAGGTCTTGAGCAATGAGTTAACCTGAGTCTTGGCTTCCTCAGCTAAAAACTATGGATGATAGTGGGACAACCTCATTGGGTTGTGGAAATTTAATGCAATCATGTGTGTAGAGTGCTGTGCCTGATATATGATAGGTGATCAAAGTAGATTAGCTTGAAATAGGGGCAAAAGCTATACCTGGAACATTGTCAACAATGGGATGAAAGTTGGGTGAGGGGTCTGCAGCCAATCCAACTCATTGAGGATGACAGGTCCAGCTGTAAGCTCTAGGAGGGGCTCACGGCTATAGTGGGACCTCTTGAGTTCCTAGCATTTCCAACTAGGCCAAGCCATACTTGGAATTTCAGGCAGGTGTTTGGCATCAGGCACTGATGTTTGCAACCTTCCCCTCTCAGTTTCATGGTGTGAGATTCTTAGATGAAAACGGAAAGCCAAGTCAGGGCTCCAGTCTGGGAATACTTGAACTACTAATAGTTAATTCGATAGGAATCCAGATTCTGTATAGCTATGGAGAACCCTGGCCATAGAAACAGGGAGCAAGGTCAGTGCTGGATTAGCAGTTGGGGGGAAATCTAGAATGCCTGCTCCTACCTTGGGAAAGGACTGGGGCAGGGTGGGCTCAAGCCCTAGAAGTGAATGAAGGGAGGGGAATGTTCATTTGCCTGCAGCCAGGACCGGTGGGACCAGCTTCCAAGGCCCTCTGCTGTCTATATTACCCCCAGTGGCAGTCAGGATATAAGGAGGCAAGGGACTACAGGTGTGTGATAGAAATAAAACCATTTTACTGTTTAGAATAAAGGACACACTATAAAAAGTGAACATTATGCAACATTACAGACAATATACATTCACGGAATATAAAATTCATAAATAACATGGAGGAAAACTGTAAACAGTGCTACAAAATTTAGCAACAAATACATTCCTTCCAGACAGGGTTTTCTCTGGTTGGTTTCTCTCCATCACTTCTGGGTCTCAGGACAGCAGACTGGCTAAGGGGAAAGGTGAGGGCATGGGAGGATCTGTGAAGCCCTTCCCCCGAGAGCACGAACCGGTCTTAAATTCTTTCCCTCCTCATGTCTTCCAAATGCTAATTTTTGGAGGCTGTTGATATCCACCTCCCCTACATTCTCACACTTTGTTTTGCTTCTATCGTCAGATTTTTAAAGTGTTTTCCTTGTGTAAAACTACTGTAGTGATATTTTTACTTTTGGTAGCCAGGAGCCAAACCCTTGGGTGCCATCTTGGGGTAATCCATATTGATGATCATCAAACACAAGATGAAAGGCTGGGCAGGGGAGGGTACTTTTCTCCTAGGGGCCACAGTGTTTCTGAGACAGAGCTGTTCCAATAAGTCATTTGTTTCTTTAACTGTTCAAGAACCATCATATGAAAAATGATATTCATGGGCTGTACCATGACTGCCATGATGTAGGTATGGAGCTGGGTGATGGTAAAGGATGGGAGTCTCTGGTATTATCTACCCAGACAGATGGAGCACAGGTCTGAGAGGAGAGAGCCCCAGGTATAATGCTTTCTGGATAGGGAGGCAGAAGAGATGACCAGATGAGGCCAAGAGGTCTTGGAATCACAGCTCCCATGGCCCTGGGTTTTTAGAAGAAATCATGGCTTCCCAATTGAGTGGTCAAAAATAAGGGGGGAAAAAGAATGGGAATGACCAGCAGACTGCCCAGTGCCAGTTGATACAGAGCAAGGACATGGATGTACTTTCTGTTTTCCCTCCTCCTTCCTACTCCAGAAAACACTGGGATGCTGATAGGGAGGAGGAGGGAATTAGTGTCAAGTGGTAGTTCCTTCTCGTTTCTCCAGTTCGCCAGTCTAGCTGCCTGCACAGTAGAAGTATTTTACCCTCCATTCCACTTTAGAATTTGATTCAGGAAAATGGCGGCATGTGGGTTTCATTTTTTTTTTTCTCTTAAACACAATGTACACATATTAAAGCCTACACATGACACAAGATTTAGCAAAATAAAACGTTCACGATATGATTGAAATACGGAAGTGTCTCAGCTACATAAATGACTTTAAATTATACAGTAAGTGAACAGGTGAAATAAACAAAGCTATAGCTTATAGAAAGCTCAAAAACCGCCCTCTGCCAACATCGCTTTGCAAAGGACCCTTCTTTGCCCAGGACCTGCTATTCTCTTTGACAGGGCCTGACAGATGGGACTGTGGTTCCACCAACATTTCTACAGGGAAACTTCAGATGATTCATGCTCAGGCCTCACCCCAGGTCCCTCCTTGTGTGAGTGGAGGTGACCCCATGAAGGACCAAGAATGGCCAATGCTTCATAGAGGGGATGTTGATGTCCAATTGTGAGAGGGCACTTGTGTGGTTGGGTCAGGGGTTCCATCTTGTAAGACTTGGAGGTTGAAATCAAGAAAATCTCAGAACACCAAGGACTTGGGCTTACCCTTTAAAGACCACTGGTCCGTGACCTCAGCTCCTTTTGCTTACACAGCTGTGTTGAGAGGGCAAAGCCTCCCGTTTCCCACCTGCCAAATGGCATGACCATAGGGTGAAAGGTACAAGATAATCCAATGAATACCATGGAAACTGGATGCCTGCACTGCCTTCCCACTCAGGAGTTCTGCCAAATACCTTGCCTGGGTATTTGCATGTGTGTGTGTCTGTGTGTGTGTGTGTCTGTGTGTGTGCAAGACATCACAATGTGTTGTCTGCTTCTTTTTTTAAATCCTGTTTCAATTGGCAGCTCTGTTTCCTAAAGTGGAATGAACTGAAGATACAAATACTAAGAGGAAAATAGCCATAATCTGAAAGAAGAGACAGAGTGATCATGTTAAATGTCACCATCCTACCACCCCCAACTCTGTGAAATATGCATTATCACCTACTCTTGGCATCTCACTTTCAACACTTAAACTGAAAATAATTTTATTTAATCAGAGAACTTATATTATAGTTTTATTTCAAAAAAAAAAAAAAAACAAAAACACAACAAAAACCCTACAGCTGATTGCAGAGTCAGGCTTCCCTAGTGACCACCGATTTTAATCCCATGAGGTGAGGACCTCAGGAGATGGTGTTCGCCCACCAGTGAGCTGGGAGAAGAGCAGGCTGTCCCAAAATCCAGGAAAGTGGCTGTCTAGCCAAGGCAGCTTTCCTCCTGTGCCCAGGCCCCTGACCCATACTAACTTTCTTATCTGAGCCAAGCCAGTAAGGCAGTTAAATGAAGGCCCCAAACATGAAGCAGGAGAAAAGGAGAGGGACAGAGGTCAGATGACCCCAGTTAAAGGGATGTCGAGGGTGTTCAGAATTTCAAATTTTAATTAAAATGAAAAAAAAAGTCAACTTGGAATGTCATGATTTTCTTCAAACAAGCAACGACAACAAAATAGAAGAGATTATACTACTGGCATATTTAACAGCATTGAACAGAATTCTGTGTCCTGTAAAAAATTAGCTTATGTCCCCGTGTGGGTATATGCAAATGTGTATACAAACACATCCCCCTAGGTGAGCTAAACCCTACTTTGGAAATAGTATTCTCTACCCAGCTCTACTTGACTATATCTGTGGATAGTGTGTGATGTGTGTATTCCTCCGATTTACATAAAGGCAAGCTCCCGGCCAAATCTACCAGAGTTTTCCAGGAGGAAGTCTTGTGGGAGATAGAGAGAGGAAAGACATTCATCTCAGTCTTTCACCTGAGCTTTTGTACAAGGCAGGCAAATTGCCTCCTGACCTCAGGCAGATGTTTAAGTCTTCATCAACTAAGAAAGTTCTGTTATTCTGTCCTGGCTGCTTGCCGGACTCAGAAACATCTGGTCAACCCCAGCATCACTGGGCTGGGGGGAATTGAGTGTGCTGCACCCTCTCAGACCCTCTCCTGCAGTTTCTTCCTTCCCTCCCTCACTCTTACGTGCAGACACAGACAGACATAGTCTGGTTGGACAATGCAGTAGCATCTCCTCAGTGTATATGGTCTTCTGCGTACCTTGAGTCTATCTGCTTGCTGCCCTGGACTCATCCTGAAACAGTTGACCTTTCAGCAACTTCCTTGTCTGTGTCTTTTATGTACTGGGATGGAGGACAAGGGTCGAGGGAAGCGGGTCTGGGAGATGGTGAGGTGGGGGAGAAGAGAGAGGGGTAGGTGTTACAATGCCCAAATGGGGTAGTTTTTCGGTTTCTGTTTTCCTAAAAAAATAGATTATATCATCACGAAGAAGAGGAGTGTGCATTCCTCATTCTTTCTGGCATGGCACCAAAAATTCCCGCGTGGAAATGGGTGATGTCAAAACCAAAAAGAAGGGGCAGGGTGGGGCCAGGAGGATGGTTCCAAATAAACTCCATATGACAGCATAGACTTTTCCTTAAGTGTTCGAAGTGCTAAATTTGCAAGAAAACAGGCACTAATGTCATTGTCATCATCTGGGAAGAGTTAGTGTCCGAGGGAAGCTCAGCGGGAAGGGAGGGAAGGGTGGGGAAGGGTCTGGTGCTCAGGGGTCTGTGGCATTGATGATGCTTTTGTCCGGGGGCGCCCATCCTCGGTACCAGCTGCAGTAACCACCCTTCTGCCGGATGCAGGCATAGTGTTTGGACTGGTAGCCAGGGTAGCCGAAATTGGAGAGCATATCGGTCCAGAGGCACTCGTTCTTGGAGGTCACAAAGCAAGGCAGGTAGTAGCAGGATTTGATCTGCAATTAGATAACAGCCAAAGGTTGGTGGGCTCTGCCATGGTGGCCCCAGTCCTGATGCTTGCTCCAGTCTGGATTCAGAGCACTGAAGGTGGAGCCCAGCCATATCAGTCCCTTGGTGAAAATAATGTAAGTAACACCCACTAACACCTACCGAGTGCCACTGTGTAGCAGATACCCTGCTAAGTGCTTCTATGCTATTCTCTTTAGTTCTTATAACAGATCTATCTCCCTTTACAGATAAGGAACCAGAGGCTCAGAGAGGTTAAGGAACTTGCTCTGATTTACGCAGCCAGAAAGTGGTGGAACTACACATTTGAGAAAACTCTTCTTTCTCAAGTGGTAACAAGCAAGGATGAGAGATCTCAGCTGTTGTGGAAATTGAGGAATTAGAAAGATTAAAGCATAAACTTTGGGCATCTAGCTGCCATCGACTAGAAATCACATGAGCTGTGTGAAATCGGGGAGCTGTGTGACCTAGGGCTTGTTACTTAAGCTCCCTGAGCCTCTATTTTCTTATCTGCAAAATGAGCATAGTAGTAATAAACACTACACAAAGTTGTGAGAATTCAGTGAGAGAACTGCCCAGCTCCCTCCCACAGCAGGCAGGCTGTGTGCCATGACCTCTGCGCTTGAGTCAAGGAATTGGCCCTGGTTAGACCTTCCGCAGCATTTGGTATCAGTAGTCCTGTGCCAGCTTGCCCATCAGTGAGGCAGCTGCCCTGGTGAACTCACTTGGGACTGCTTGCAGGACCTGCCACTATAAGGATCTGGTATCTGCCACAACCTTGAGCCACAGGAGAGGCCAGGGACACTGAAGAGTCCTCATGCCCCAGCTGCTGCCAAGTGGGCAGCCTCGGGTGGGCAGATTATAGCAGAAAGGCGTTCTTCCCCCACCTTCATCACCACTCAGCCAGGGGGCAACATTCCTCACCACCCCTGTTCACACCTGACCTTCCGCTCTGGCCCGACATGCAGAAGGGCCCAGTGCCCAGTACAGCAGGAACTGATGCTTCTGGGGGCCGTGAGCCAGCACCTCCCCTGCCTGCCCTCTCCAGGGATTACCTTGCAGTTACAACCCAGGTGATACCGGTAGTTGAGCCCCTTGCGCTGGGAGAGGGTGAGCTGGTCCCACCTCTCCACGAAGTTGCACAGTCCTGTGTACATCTTACCATCGTAGACGCGGCCTAGAGGAGGAAAGAGGACAAGAGGAGAGTTGTTGTGTCCAGAGCCCAGCCACAGGGTTGGTGAGAAAGAATTCTCACCTACGGAGAACCCACCTTAGACCAGGTACTGGGCTAAATACTTTCCAATCCTGTGATTTTACTTCATCCTTCCTGATACGTTTTAGGGAAAACTGTGTCCCCATTTCCCAGGTGGGGAAAACAAAGCTCAGAGAGGTTAAATGACTTGCTTCTTAAAACCATGAAGCCCTAGAGTTGGGACGGAGATCAACCCTTCCTGTCCCCATCAGTGGTTTCTTGGTTTTGTTCTTGTTTTTTCCTTTCCTACACTGACTGCCTGTAGGTGGGTAACTTTCACAAACAGACCTAATAAATAGGTTGACTGTGGGGGTATAGAGGAACAGGTCCTAGCAATCCCTTTTGATTTATATAGTAAAGCTGAGAATGTGTCAAACTAGACAAAACTCCGTTTCCGTCACAGGGCCAGTGGTGGCATCCACACTAAAACCCAGCTCAGTGTAGAGCCTTGAGCTCCTACCATAGGCCAAGCCAAGTGCACTCAACACCAGACAGTCCTTATAATTCATTGGGTGAAAAGCCAAAGTCCTAAGGACACCTCTGGGTCAATCACTCCTTCTCTAGCCTTCTGAAGTGAAGGACTGCTGGACCTTGGCCAAACCCTGACCTAAATGCTAGAGTTGGCTGTTACCTGTCAGCAGGTACTGGTACTTGTTGACTTCTAGCTTGAGGCCACAGAGACTTTCAGAAGCTTCTGTGTGGATGTACTGCACGTGGGGCATCTTGGTGAAGCCTCGGTACATCTGTGGGCAGAAGGAACGTCATGAGAGCAGGACCAGGGCTCAGAGAGCCTGCTGTCATTTGTTCTATGGGAATCTGACTCCCTTAATCCACCATCGTGTGGCCACTGACCTCCCCAGCCATTTCTCCTCCTCTTGTCTGAGCCACGGTGGTGCCATCCTGGAGAAACCTTCCCATACAGCCAGTCACACCTTCCGTTTTAACACACCCACAGCCCGGCACCTGACATATGCTCTTCTCAGATCCCAAACCTTTCTAGAAATCCATACAATTTGCTGTGAAGGGGGTCCTTGCCCACCTCACCAACCTTGACCCCCACGTGCCGAAAAGGCAGATGGCCAGCATTCTGATGACATCTCCATGACATTTTTCAGTGTATAAAAGCATTCCATTTACATTCCCCTCACTGTCTCCTCCTAAGAACCCAAAGAGGTAGGCATTCTTGTACCCATTTTACAGACAAGGACTCAGAAATTGTGTTTGGTTGGTGGAAGTTGAACTCAGGCCCAGGGTTCTCCATGCTTTTATCTTTCTGAGCATCTGTTGAAAGCACTGGTTTCCTTTACCCCAGGCAAAGCCTATAAACATGTATACAAAATTTCTAGATTTTTAAACTAAACACTTTATAATTGTTAAGTTGAACTGTATGAAAATGGTGATATTTGGCCATTTTTATCTACAACATCCTCTAAGACGGTGGTTCTCAACTGGAGGCAGTTTTATCCCCACCTCAGGAGACATCTGACAGTGTCTGGAGACATTTTTGATTGTCACAAACGGGAGGGGGTGTGGCTGCTACCGGCGTCTGTGGGGAGAGGCCCGGAATGCTCTTAAATATCCTGTAATGCATGGGATAGCCCCTGCAGCAGAGTTATCTGTCCCCAAATATCAGTGGTACCAAAGTTGAGAAATCCCACTCTAATATTAACCCCCATAACATCCCCATGAGACAGGAACTATTATAGGTGAGGATCCTGGGCCCCAGGCAGGTTAAGTGGCTAATCTAAGGCCTTATGGTTGGCAAATGGCAGAAGCAGGACTCCAGATGGGCACATCTGCTCCAGAGCCCATGCCCTTAACCATTATCCTATGGTCTCTCTTCCTGTGGCCTCACAGAGTCATGCCCAAGGGCCTCTGATACAGGCAAATGCTATTTATGGCTGTTGCACCTCCTTTATGTGCATGTGCTCAGAGCCACTGGTATGACCATAACGAGGCTGGACCCACTTGGTGATTCCAGGTCATGGCCACGAGTCTTACATGGGTTCAGATCTGTCAAGGAATCTCTGTTAACTGTGTGAGTGGGTGAAGGTAGAAGGGGGCAGCGAGGTGTTGCCCAATCCCATTATCCTCCCAGCTCTCAGAGCACACAGGCCCTGGATGGCTGGTGGTCTCCAGGGGTTTACAACAGGACAACATCTCTCCTTTAGCTCCTGGCATGCGTTATTAATTTACTTATGGTAATTAATAAAAAGCTAGACATCGCCTCATTGGTGTCTCTTCTAAGTGCCTCCCATTTGTACTAATGGGCCAGGTTTTCTCCTTACTTCCTATTAAGTGGGGACTGGATGGTGGGGGTAGGTGGTCCACGAGGACCTCCACCGTCATAGAGTGTCTGTTGGACCCAGAGTTTGGGAGCCTCTGCCTTTTTAAGGGGAACGCTGCCCTAATTGTGTGCAACCATCAGTGCAGATGGTTTTAATTTACCTGGCCTCTCTTTTAGCCCTCTTCTCCCGAGAGGCTCACCAGCTGAACTAGGAAACGCAGCCAGGCACTGTGAGAAGTGCTGTCCACACTCAGTTTTCAATTATGCCGCGGGGGAGCAGGGGCGGGTCAGATCTTACCCCCCACTTCCTCAGTGATGGATGGTGCCTCTCTGGCTTTAACAGGAACCATGCTTAAGAGCACTGCTGTGTGCATGCCATCCAGTGTGGCCTTCCAAGAACATTCCCTGCACTCCCTCTGTGCCCATCAGCTTCTCCTCTGGTGTGGATGTTCCTTGAGTTCCTGGCAAATGTTTCAACTTAGTCCTCGCTCTGAAATATTGCAGACCCAAGGCCATCAGAGCCTCAGTACATCCTTGTTGGTATTTCCCCTTCATCTCCTTTCTGCTTTATGAGTGAGGATCAGTCCCTGTCTAGGGTCCAGTGACTTCAGCTGCTCAGTTCTCACTACTTTGGAATTTGAAGGAATCTTGATTTTAACAGGGCTTGTAGCACTTGCATGCAGTATCAGAACTTTAATACATCGTAAGTGATTGGGTATGACAGACACAGCACTGCCACTTAGCGTCACTTTTGAGTGTGACAATATGGTAAAGGCAGATGGTACTCATTTCGTTATCTTTTCTTTATAATGATCCCATCTTGACCTAAATATTGATCCCAAAAGTATCATTAGGTCTATATGCATAGAGACTGAGAATTGGTTTGACAAATTTAGGAAGACTGTAATACATTTGTAGTGTCCTGCAATCAGAGAATCAGAGAATCTCAGAATTGGAAAAGATGTTAAAGGTAATCAAATCCAGTCAAAGCACTGGAGGATTAATGGTAAACTCTGGTTCTGGAGACAGACAGCCAGTCTGATTCTTGTCTCTGCCACTTATTAGCCACTTGGAAAGCTACTTTACCTCTTTGGGTCTCAGTTTCTTCACCTGTAAAATGGGGTAACGTATTACTCCATAAAATGTTTTTGAGAATTAAATGACTTAGAATAGTGCTTGGAGCACATTATTCACTAAAAGTTAGCTTAAAACTAGTTCTACTGAAATTTCTATCAGCAGAGGGAAAGGTTTGTTCCTCTTCTTTCCATGGCTCTTTGCCCAACCGTATCTTTTAAAGCAGAGATTTAAAGCTGGATTGAACTTCAGACTAGGCAGGTTGTTTTCTCTCTCTCTCTCTCTCTCTCTCTCTCTCTCTCTCTCTCTCTCTTTCTCTCTCTCTCTCTCCAGCTTTAGTGAGGTATGATCAACAAATAAAAATGCATATATTTAAGTTATACAACAGGGTGTTTTGATATATGTATACATTGTGAAATAGTTACACATTGTGTATACATAGTTATACATTGTGAAATCAGGATAATTAACACATCCCTCACCTCCCATAGTTACCTTTTGTGTGTGTGTGAGAACACTTAAGATCTGTTTTCTTAGCAAATTTCTAGTATTCAATCTGGTATTGCTATTATTATTTTTAACATTTATTTACTTTGGGAGAGACAGAGGCAGCGATGGTGAGAGAGAAAGGGGGAGAGAGAAAATCCCAAGCAGTCTCCACACTGCCAACACAGAGCCCGATGTGGGGCTTGAACCCACGAAAGCATGAGATCATGACCTGAGCTGAAACTAAGAGTCAGTCACTTAACCGACTGAGCCACCCAGGTGCCCCTCAATCTGGTGTTATTAACTACAGTCACCATGCTGTACATCAGATCTCCAGAATTTATTCATCCTACAGAACGGAAAGTCTGTACCCTTTAACCAACATTTTTCCTCATCTCCACCAACCCCCAGCCCCTAGTGACCAGCATTCTACTCTGCTTCTGTGAGAGGTTCAACTGTGAGTTCAGCTTTTTTAGATTCCACATAAAAGTGAGATTATGCTCTATTTGTCTTTCTGTGTCTGGCTTATTTCACTTAGCGTAATGTCCTCCAGGTTCATCCATGTTGTCAAAATGAAAAGATGTCCTTTTTTAAGGCTGAATAATGTTCTATTGTGTGTAGACACACACCACATTGGACTCTATGAGCCTCTGGGCCTCCCCTCTTGGTAGTATGTACACAAAAGTTCTAAGAAGTTAGCTTCCCTTGGGGTAAAGAGACAAATAATGTAAGAAAGAAGTTTCTGGATCTGGGGGGCTTTGAGTATTTCTTATGGAATGCCTGCTCTTCACCCTACATTGACAGCATGAAATGTCATCACTATGTCAAATAATTCTGGCTTGGCTGCCAGAGATGAGAACTGTGCTGGGTGCTGTCTTACATCATGAACTCCTTTCAACCCACAACTTATTCTCCTTTGCAGACCAAGAACCTGAGTTTCAGAGACATTAGATGCTTGACTGAGATACCAAGTGTACAGCCTTTCTCTTACAGAACAGGCTGTCTAGCAAGGGGTGGGGGGCAGAGCACATGACAATGCAGGCAGTCTCTGCTGAGGGCTGGACGAGAGACCCAGACCAGAAAGAGTTACAGGCATTGAGAAGAGAACAGTTCCCTGTGGGCTGGAGGGTCAGAGAGGCTTCCAGCTGGAGCTTCAAAGGCGAGACCTTGCTATAGTGCTCATTTGATTAGACAGACCACTGAAGGAAGGAAGTCCCCAGGGGCCAAGCATTCCAATTGCCCAGCAAATCTGTTCTGCCCAGAGTCAGGACTTGCAAAGCACATGACCAGTGGGCCTCCCCATGGGACCCTCCCGGGACCAGCTGGGACATAATGTTCCCCACGTGTTGTCCCCCGCTGCGCCAGCCTGGGAGCATGTCTCCACTGTACAGACTGCAGCTCCTGGCAAAGCAGACCGCTTTCTCATGGTCCTGATGGGAGATAAGGTCCCTATAGATTAGAGCGACCAATTCTGGAAACTTCCACCTTTGCACTGCAGCCCAGTGCCTCTGCTCCAGCTAATCTCCAGCCTTAGGCTTGCAGTAAGCCCCCTTAACATTCAAATGCTCCCCCACACACACACCTGTGGGTCTCTGCACACTCAAGAGGGGCCTGCAAAGTGGGACCAGAGGTTCTGGAATTAGCATATGAGAGAGGGTCTGTCTGCCTTTCATCTGTGTAAGAAGTTCCAGGGGAGGGGGTGGGAACTCTGAGACAGAAGAGAGAGGTTAGACAGGATGGCTCAAATTCTCACGTTCTCAGAGTTCCTTCAGTCCTGCTCTAAGGGAGCCCTGGCTCACCCCGTCTGACTCTCTGGGGTAGACTCTCTAATCCACTAGAACAAAGCCACCCAGGGACCAGTGCCAAAACTCATGCAGGCTCGCCTCCCTGGCCTCTCCTCCTTCCCTCCTACAAAGAGTTTTCAGTACACCCTTTGCAGGATGTTGCAAGTCAAGAGCTACACTGCTGGAAGATAAACGACAAAGCCAAGCTAACGTCTCTTTGTTCCCTGGGGGAACTACATACAACTGGGGTGGGGGTGGGCAGGAGTGATGAATGCAGCTCGGCTGTTCTATAATCTCCTTGTTGGCAAAGGCTCTATAGCTTCCCTCCAGTCTGCCACTTTCTAGTGGTATGAACTTGGCTATTACATGACCTTTCTAAGTCTCAGTTATCTCACCTGTAAAATAGAGAATAATGTGTGTCTGCTTCACAGGGCTGTTGTGAGGACTGATCCATGCAAAGGCTTAGCAGAATGCCGGGTACATAGTAAATGCTCAAAACATGTTATTTGAATAGAGTCTTATTTTCGTTATAACAAACATTATCTTTCTATCCCAGGCCTGAAGCATAGTGTTCAGCACAGAGAGAGGTGAGAAGACAAGGGGAGTGGGGAGGGACAATTGGATGAACTACTCCAGTTCCTACATCCCACACCTGATTAGCCAACTGCTACCTGGAGACCAGCAGAATTCAGTGGCCTCTCAGGATAGAAGGGCAATGACCCTTCCAGGAGTAATCTAATATTGGGCTTGTAGGAGGGGCAGAGTTAATGAAAAGGCATTAGACAGTGATCAATGATCAAAGCGACATGGCAGGGAGATTTGAGGAGTCATGTAAAGAACACACAGGATTGGGAAGGAATCCCAACACCTTAGCTTGGGAACCAGATCTGTCTTTAATTAAATGCATGACTGGGCAAGTCATTTCCCCTCTGAGCCTGTGTCAGAAGTAAAACAAGGAATTTTACTTTCCCATGTCTAGCACCCTGGTTCCATGAACCTGGGTGAAGGATAGTGAACGGACAGTGTGACGCCACCAGCCCGGGAGTGAGTGTGTGCTCTGAAGCTGATGGGTGAACAAATGTAACTTGGCCTCTGAACACCCTGCAGAGGCCGGCCTGGCACCAGCCAGGGGAAGTGGGACATTTTGCCCACAGGAAGGGCCTCTCATCACCCTGGCATCCGGGCCCTGAAGGAAGTGGGGAAGCTGGGCAAGCTTAGGAACCACTGCCTCCCAGCTTTTCCCTCAGATCTGCTGGCCACAGAGCGTCCACAATGTGATGGATTGTTCCAGAGCAGGAGGGGGGTGTTTCCTGAACCTCTGCTTTGCCTAACATGCTTCGGCGTTTGCTCACTGGCTGCCGGGGGCTGTACAGTGGGGGTTTCTTTGGTTGTTGTTGATCTCGTTGGTTTCCCCCCCTCCACACTCTTCTCTCCCCATGGCCATCTGAAGACATAAGCTGGTCCCATGACCAGGCTTGGGCAGCCAAGGGCACCTAGCCAGGGCTGACTCTGGACATTACATAACCAGAAGGCTGTGGATGTTTCCAAAGTTGAATCGAAAGCAACAGGTTCCACAAACTTAGTACATCAAACCTGAGGCCTCAGGACGCAGGAATAACGAGGCCTGGAGGTCTGCCTCCAGAACGGTTGGGTACCACCCATAGGCTATCACTACTCTCATTCAGTTCTACCCTGGGGCTCAAAGGCTTGTCTCCTCTGGGGAGTTTTCAGGCCAGTAGAGTCCCACCCTCATTTCTCCATTAGATGGATAAACATCCACCAAGTCCCTGATGCGAGTCTGGTCCTGCTCTAGTTTTTGAGGACACAAATATGGGCAGTGAGTAAAAGGGCTGGCAGTCCCCTTGGACCTGAGCACACCCCACCTTGAACTTCTGCTTAGTCACGCACATGTGTCTTCTCTCCCAGCCTGACTATACTTCCTAAACATGGGAACCCCATCTTTCTCGTGGCTTCCAAGGCTCCTGACACAGAGTGCTGCACATAGGGAGGTGCTTACAAAGGTGGGGTGGTGGACCAGCTGTGCTCTTCAGGGTGAGTAAGTGCCACCAGCCCTCTCTGCGAAGGCAGACATAAGTACCCCCTTCTGGCACCCAAAGCAGCTCCTCCTTAGATGTAATACCACCAGTGTCCCAGGGCACTTAGAATCCTGAAACGCCTGAGTTGGAAGAGCTCTTAGGGGAACCTAGCCCAACCCCACACTGTTAACAGATGGCAAAACTGAAGCCCAGGAAAGGGTGGTTCTAAGGGAAGCAGGCTAGTCAGGAGTGGAGCTGAGACAAGGAAGTAAGTTCTGTAGGTTTCAAATCTGATGTTCTTTTTGTTAAGATGGACCTCCTTAGTGTGCTTCATGGTGCAAATATGCTCAGGAATATGTTCAGTTATAGGAGGATGCTTAATAAACAGTGCTAACCAGCTGGGAGGCACGATCTGGGAAAATAGGGAAAGCAGGGGCAGTTCCTACACCAGGATAAGGTTCCTGTGATCAGCAGAAGTTCAGTGTAAAGATTCGAGGACTTAAACATAAGTTGTAACCTCAGCAACTGCATAAGACTGGTAGGAACTTTTGAAACTCAAAAGTCAGAGCTCAGAAGAACCCATAAGACAAGCTAGTCACATCCCCTCATTTTACAGATGGAAAGACCAATGCCCAGAGAGGGGCAGTGACTTGGCCAAGGTCTCACAGTTGCCAGGGAACAAGGCTTTCTGCCGTGTGGTTCCAGAGTGGAGCCTCTTAACAATGGCCTCTGAGGGACTCCACCTGTGCTGGCCCTAGGGTGAAGCAGCCACCCCCCATCCCCGCCCTCACCTCCTACCCATTGCTTTCTTCTGCCTTAGCAACACCCTCTCCAGCAGTGGGGAGGGGCTACATACACCCACCCTGCCTCCCCTGGCCAGGACTCTTCTGGCAAAAAAAACCACACAACAACCCAGGAACTCTCCTGGTACGGGCTTCCGTCACTCACCTTCATCTGTTTGATGGTGTAGACCAGCGTGCCAAAGGGCCCCTCCTTCACCAACTTCTTCCCTACCACCTTGGCCCGGATCACTGCAGAAAAAGGCAAGACGCAGACAGGAATGAGGTTAGGGAGGCTTGAACCACATCAGGGACCATGTCTCAGGTTGGGCCATCCAACCCCCAGGGTGCCTGGAATTGCTTTCTTACCTCTGGGCCAAGTTGAATAGATGACTGTGTTTATAAAAGCAAGAATTCAGATGAGAGACACTGGGGGGTGGGAGAGGAATGGAGGAAAGAAGGCAGGCAGTCATCATTCAAGTTAATTATCCCAAATGTTCACAATTGCCGACCCTGGAAATTCCTAGGCTGCACTCACTCCTGGAGGAGTTTCTTGACTCTGTGGTTTCACCATAATCGAAAATCTACTTCTCTTGTTAAAGTCTCTTGCCTTTCATCCACTGTCCATCTAAGCATTCCATGGTCTCCCAGACCTATTCTCTCCTACCAACGCATCTTTCTGAGTGCTGTCTCCTTTGGGGCTCTTCCTCTGCATGTCCTGACATGCCTGCAGGGTTGCAATGCATGTGCACCCAGCTTCCTTCCATGCCCAGTCAGCATTCTGAGCGGGCCCTGGGTACCCAGCACTTAGATGGCATGGCACAGTTAGGATGTGGTGAGGGATGGAGCATATGGGAAAAGGGGGTGCCCAGGAGCTGACCGAACTGTTCTAACCCCAGCTCTGCTTTTATGGCTATTAGGACTGTGGATAAGTAACTTTGTTTCTGGCCTCCAATTTCCTCTTCTGTAAAGCTAGGATGATAATGGTACCAATCTCTTTAATTGAAAGGACTAGGTAAGATGATGCACATGAAACTCAGCACTGTGTCTCAGACTTGGTGTATGCTACATAAACATGATTAATATCATCATCATCATCATCACCAAAAGCGGAATGGGCTGACCATGGAAGGATTGCTGCCATTAGAAGTCACTCCCATTTGTCACACACCGACTATGTGCAGTAGTCATTTATTTACTCTTCATGACTGCCTTACAGGGACAGTATTAGCATCCACATTACACAGACAAGAAGACAGGGAAGGGAAGCCACCTCCTTTACTGAACCCCAATTTTCTCCTCTGTAAAGAGGGTGTGACTCTACCCTACATTGAAGAATTGGAATAAGGATTCAACAAAAGATCTTCTGAAATTTCTTAGTACAATGTCTGGCAGAAAGGAGTTGCTCAGTAAATATTAATTGACTATGAACAAGAAAACAATTAGACAGACCCAGTGTGAGGAAGGCTGGAAGAGAGGCATTTACTACATGCCCTGAGAACACAGAGAGGGAAGGGATTTACTTTGAGATGATAAGAGGCTGTGTGTGCTCTTTATATTTTAAGTGAAGAAGTACCCAAAAGCTGTCTTAAAGTATTTATAGAATGGGCACATGGAGGAATAAATGGAGAGATCGTAAAGACACTGCAGAAATTGCAGAGAAGTTGTATTCATTGACTCAACCAAAAATGTTCTCTAGTAACAAAACTGGCAACAAGAGATGGGGAAGGTTCCATAAGGACAGAGAGTGTCTCCATCAAGGGAGTCTGCATGCTCTCATGCTAGGACCTTGCCCAGGATGGAATGGATTTTGCACACATTAGCAGCCATGCGTTGAGCCACAAATTGAACCCTTTCAGCCCTAAGATCCTGTCACTCTTTCTTGTCTCCAGTTGTACTTAGCCCCCCCAAAAATAAGCACTCAATAAATGTCTGTTAAGCAGAATACCTTTCACAGACACACACACAGCCCTGCCCATTCTGGTAGTTCCATTATCCTCCATTTTGGATGTCCCACAGTGTTTCTCAATTCATTGGACTCTAATCTCTTAAATTAAAACAAAATAAAACAAAACACCTTTATTAGGGACCAGTCTCCCCCATCTCAACTGGATTCTGTCCTGTTCCTCCCCAAACGAATTTGGATCCTTCTCTCCCAGTCAGATGTGATGTCAGGACCCAGATGAACCAACAGACCCTCTAGACCTTCTTGCCAGGGAGGGTAAAACACAGAGCCCACTGGCAAAGTTAGCAATTTAGCTGAGGCAGTGGGAGGAGGCGAGTGTCTGTTTCCAAGTCTGCTGTAAAATAAGAGGTTGGCAAGATCCCAGGCCAAGCTCCCTCAAGATTCTGCTTCCACCTCTGTGTCTAACTTTGTTGCAGCATCCTCGGCAGGGAGCCAGCCTCCCAGAGGCCCAGGGACTATTTCCTCTACAGTAACTCCCACAGTCAGGTTGTAACAGCTTAACTGTTGGGCAGAAAGCATATCTGCCAGGACTTTACTATTGATTCTTCCTGAATTGATTTGGCTCCACCTTCTCCTGCTTCATTAACACAGAAGGTAAACTAGCAAGTGAGTCTTTGCCTTAGGGGAGGAGAAATAGCAAAAGGGGCTCCTTTAAATAGTAACGTCTACCCTTTCCTGGCTCAAAAATGGCTTGACTTCATTTAGACATAACACGTCATAAGCAGACCTGTCCCATAAAGGTAGGTACTTCTGGAAGCTTCTGCACACACAGTGAGCCAGTTCCTTCCTTACCCTGAAATGGCCTGAGCTTGGAACATTTTCATCTGAGAATAGTTCTTTGAAAAGGGAGTAAGTTTTTGCAGTCAGGAAGCCACATTTCAATTCCACCATTACCGTGTGGCCTCAGGCAAACCCCTGTGGACTGCCCTCCCCACCTCTTTTCGCCTAAATATTTCTGATTGTCTTGGCCCAATGCCCATTAGGTGGCTTACAAGTGATATACTTAATTCTAGTGGAGCAGCAATATGGCAAAGCACTGAATAGCCAGGGCTCTGGAGCCTGACTCCCCTGAGTTCAAATCCCAGCACTGGTGCTGCATGGCCTTAGGGAAGTCATTAAACCCTTCCAGGCCTTCATTTCTTAATCTATAACACTTCCTCCTAACCCTCATGCTGTGAGGGTTAAGTACAAACACTGAGAACAGTGTGTCTGCTGTCACTGCTGTTATAGTACCACCACCACCACCACTGTGACTTCTGTTCTTTGTCTATCTAAGCATCTTCAGCTTCTAACATACCCTGTAAGCAAAGGCCTAGGGGTTCTCTCTGGGATGGGAAGAAAGGCAAGCCCCTCAAGATATCATGCAGAACTTCATGGAGATGTGGGTGGACACACATAAACTGGTCAGAACAAACGTACAAGGTGTTTTTAAGTCTGGAGTACCCACCTCATCGCAGGTACCTATCCTATCTCATCACCCACATGTAATCCAACAGCAGCCAACCAGGACCAAACGAGATCACATGGTTATGGTCCAGAAAGACAAGCAAAAAAGGCCCAGCACAGAGACCACACCAGTGTTTTCTTTATAAAAACAAAACTGCACCCAACTGGACTAAAATTAAGTAACTTTCTGCTCTCCCAAAGAGATCCACAAAGTTCTTCCACAGTAAAAACACCAGCCAACCTCAAATCTGCCTATTAGGTCTATGAATTAACATGTCTTTATTTGCTTCGGTTTCTCTCTCTGCAATGCAAATGTGTGCTATTTTGTACTTTCTTGTTTGGCATTAAGGGTGCTTCCAAGGCATTCGCTGGCCTGGGGGCCACAGTGGACAGGGGAGGTGTGGGAGGTCACGGTTCTCCAACAACAACAGAAGACAGTTTCCAAACTTAGAGCTGGCAGCATGTGGGCCGTTCCTGCCACCTTGGTGTAGTGGCTGGAAGCCAGATTTATAGAGGGGCTGAGCTAGACACAGGTTTTCTTTATGCTCCTTCAGGCTAGAACATGGCCCCACACCGTCTACCCAGCGTCCCCCAGCAGCCAAACCAACATGGGCGTGAGCTGGGTTGGTGTGCTGGCGGGGTGATGACGAGAAATAGAAGTCCCATTTCCTACCTCCACAGAGCACACCTAGTGGGAAGACAAAGTTTAAAAGTTCATGGCTAGAGGGCTAATCTCCAAGGTATGAAGGCATCAGTCAGAGAAGGGGGGAATGACGAACAGCCTGACTCTCAGTCTTAGAACCTCTTATTTCCCCTTGTGAAAGGAACCTGGGCTTCCAGAGGTATAGAGGTCAAAGGAAAACAGAGTAAACAGTATTTTCACTTAATGTCTATAACAAGAAACTGACCAGGTTATGTGTGCTTATGTAATTGGTACATAGATCTGTAAACGTATGTAGGGCCCTTTTAAATATATCATACACCTAAGGATCCAGGGGTAAAGGTAATATCTCTATATCATATTCTTTCTTTAAATATTTTTTTTTGTGGGGAGGGCTAGTAAGAGCTTGCAAAAACAAAAGAAACAAGGCATCTCCCTTCCAGAAATATAATTGTGTGCTCTCTGCCCCCACCTCCATCCATAGTAATGTAGACCACAAGTGGCACAAGTTTTGAGCAAAAAAACAATTCCAGTGGCAAACAAGATTCGGCTTCTATTGCAGCTTACTGCTTGCTGTGTCCAGAAACTGCACATCCGCTATTCATCAGCATAGTCAGAGGGGGACAAGACACCCATGAGAAACCCCCTGCCTCACCCCTTCCTACTACCCCCCATCCAACCATCTTCAATCAAATCCAGACATTTCTACCCTGATCTGAGAGTTGAAGTTTCCTACTAGTAGGTTGGAAAACTGAAAGTTTGGCTGGATTTTGGATCAAGGATCCCTTAACTGAATTAATGTATACCAACTTAAGACTATGGATTCTACCCATGTTAGGATCCTGTTGAGAACACTACAAATCTTCCCCACGGTAGAGGAGGTGATTCAGCCATCTAGTGAGTATGATACTTCCAGTGCCACACACATGCACACCCCCCCCACACACACACACACTCCCATTCCTGTCTCTCTGAAGGCCCTATAGAATGATTTTGCTGGCTTAAGGTATGATTTTTAGGAGGATAGCAGGGCTAAGGAAGGCCCACCTGGCCAGCAGCTAGAATGAATTTCTCCAAAAGCAGAAGTCACTGTTAGTGTCAACCCCAGGGAGGGGAACATTCTTCTGACAGGACCCTAGCAGGCAAGGTCTAGGTAAGCAGAAAGGCCTGCACTGTGGG